TTGGATCAATTTTTTTATGTTTTCAGTTTTTTGAGGTGCTAGGAATTAAAATCAGCATGCCAGGCAAGTGCTTTAACATTGAGCTGCCCACCTTCTAATTTTTTTTTTAAAGATAAAAAGATAGCTTAAATATATCTCTGGGAATTTCCCCTAAACTACCTAAGTCAGGGGACACAAAGTTGGGCTTGGAAACCTAATGCATGTGATTAAGAAAATGTAAATGGAGGTTGGGGATTTAGCTCAGTGGTAGAGCACTTGCCTAGCAATCACAAGGCCCTGGGTTCCGTCCTCAGCTCCGGGGGTGGGGGGGGACTGGAAAAAAAGAAAATGTAACTGATACCCATTGGAATATTGGCCACCCCTCTCTTCTGGGAACTGGCTAATCCTCCCACAGGTGTGGACTGCTAGCAGCCATATCTCTACCATGTGATCCTATCCCCTGGCTACAGTTAGTTGGTCAAAGTGGACAATCAAATTATTCTTCTGGAAAACTGACAAGGAATTTGAAAACCTGAATAGTGTAGTTCATTGGTTCTCAACCCAGGTGCATTTTGCTTGCCTAGACACTGGCAGTATCTGTAAACATTTTGTTTTGTTTTTGTTTTTTGAGACAGGGTTTCTCTATGTAACAGCCCTGGCTGTTCTGGAATTCTCTTTGTAGACCTTGAGCTCACAGAGATCTGCCAGTCTCTGCCTTCTGAGTGCTGGGATTAAAGGCGTGTGGCACCACCACCCAGCTAACATTCTACTCTTGAAAGGTTTACAACCTAGAAACAATACTGTCTTAGTTAGGGTTTACTATTGCTGTAAAGAGACATCATGACCATGGCAACTCTGATAAAGAAAACATTTAATTGAGTATGGCTCACTTATAGTTTCAGAAGTTCAGTCCATTATGATTATGAAGGGAAGCAAGCATGGCAGTGTACAGGCAGACGTGGTGCTGGAGCTGAGAGTGCTACATCTTACAGACAACAGGAAAAGCTTTGAGAGACTTCAAAGCCCACCCTTTTCCTCCAACAAGGCCACACCTCCTAATAATGTCACTCCCTTTGGAGGCCATTTTCTTTCAAGCCACCACAAATACAGAACAGAAAACACCCAGTTAGAAGCTAGGGTGTACCAGTCATGACATACTTGTAGTCCCAGCACTTGGAAGGTAAAGATAGGAGGATCAAGAGTTCAAGGACAGACACAGCTACAGAGAATGTTTGAGGCTAACCTGGGATACATGAGAGACCCTATCTAAAAAACAAAGCAAGCTGGGCAGTTGGTGGCACATGCCTTTAATCCCAGCACTTGGGAGGCAGAGCCAAGCAGATCTCTGTGAATTTGAGACCAGCCTGTTCTACAGAGTGAGATCCAGGACAGGCACCAAAACTACACAGAGAAACCCTGTCTCAAAAAACAAACAAACAAAAAAAGCAAAACAATAAGCCAAACCAAGACAGGGTGGTGATTGCTTAGAGAAGGATAATACAGAGTATTCTGAGACCCCAGAACAGTGGAATTTTTCTAAGTTAGGAGAAGTAAGGAAAGAGCCCTACAAGATGGGACAGCTACACTGAGAACCGAAGCAAGCAGGAAGAAAGCGCGGCCAAGTATGCTAGTGTACATTCAGACAGAAGAACAAGTGTCCATAAGGGAAACAGCATGGCAAGTGTCTGGGATGCAAAAATGTTTGGTGTGGAAGTGCCAGGAGTCTGTCTGTTGGCTCTCAACTCCAGTTCTGCTTCTCTCTGCATTGCAGGGGACAAAAAGTCAGCAAGTTACATTTCCCTGATCTCTCTGCCAATTGACTATTGGCCAGGTTTTGCCAGTGGAAAGCCGAGGAGGAAGATGGTGGTGGGTGTTTGGTGTGTATGTGTGTGTGCCATGTTCTTCCACATTGCAAGCATCTCCACTAGTGGCAGCAACAGCAGCCAATGACTGAATCCTCCTGGGGGTTCACCAGCAGCCATGGCAGGGTCACTACATCAGCTTCACTGGCAGTGGAGGTAACGAGGGTGGATACCTTTGCATTCCTTCAACAGCACAGCAGTCACAGACAGCATTGTTGGCCGAGGCTAAGTAGCATCATTTTCACACTTCTCCAGCTCCAAGTCTCTGGGGAAACATATCTTTTTACTCTTCTAATTCTTTTTAACACTTCCATTTATCGCATTGCCTGTGTTTAAAATACCTTCTGACTGGACCCTAAAATAGCAACTGAGTCAGAAAATAAGATGGGGGTGGAGGAGGGCTGTGGTGAGAGATGTGGTTCAATAGGTAATTCAACAGCAGATGGTCCAATCTGTGTTAGGAAATGATCAGGCATTTGGACTTTATCTTAAGAGCAGTGGAGACCCACAGAAGACTTAAAGACATATTTAAGGATTGAACACAGGGTCTTCCCCACGCTTGTGAACACAAGTGCTGGACCACTGAACTACATCCTCATTGCAAGGTTTTAAATAGATATATAATTTATAAATCTTTATCTCCAAGATCTTGTGAAATAGTAATTTTAGTATCCTTTTTTAGAAAACAAAACAAACGAAACACCTACTTTTCAAAACACCCAGAAGAGCTGATACTAAAACCTTTCTTCCCTTCCTTCCTTCCTTCCTTCTTTCCTTCCTTCCTTCCTTCTTCCCTCCCTCCCTCCCTTCCTTTTTTTTTTTTTTTTTTTTTTGGCTGGTGGAGAGTCATGTTTTTTTTTTCAACATCTGTGAGAGATTCAGAGGCCGACAGGAGAGTCCCCACAAGGCAGACACTGAAGGACTGAAAAAGGAACCTGGAAGTCACTGGAGATTTAGGGAAATTCTCAGATTGTGTGTCAGGAGTTCTAGAGAGGAGAGTGGGGTCCTTTGAGGGAAAGGTTGTCAGGACCCCCAACCCTGCAGTTAGCACCCCCAGTTTTATTCATTCTTATTAATTCCTCAAACTCCTGTGTGTGTCTGGGTGCTCAGGGATTCTGGCGTGGGGACCACAGGGTCAAGTGGATCTCAGCAGCTCCTGAGCTAATGCTAGAAGGCCTAAGCCTGAGATGGGGTGGTCACAATTATAGCCCCACTTAGGTTGCTTTGTGTGGCATTGCTGCGTGTGGAGGATGGTAGATGGGAGGCTGAGCAGAGAAGAGCAGGTGATGTACAGCCACTCAGATTGTGAACAGTGTTGTCTATGACGGACAACTTGAATGGTAAATTTGTCCTGACTGCTCTGGGCTGCAACAGGATCCTCCTAAGGCAACTTCCCTGGTCCCACTGGGGTCTGGAGTTCCTCTGTCAGGCTGATATAGAATGCAGTCATCTTCCACAGATTGAGATCTTGTGAAATAGTAATTTTAGTATCCTTTTTTAGAAAACAAAACAAATGAAACACCTACTTTTCAAAACACCCAGAAGAGCTGGTACTAAATCTCTTCCTTCCTTCCTTCCTTCCTTCCTTCCTTCCTTCCTTCCTTCCTTCCTTCCTTCCTTCCTCCCTCCCTCCCTCCCTCCCTTCATTCCTTTTGTTTTTCAAAACAGGGTTTCTCTGTGTAGACCTGACTTTCCAGGAACTTGCTCTGTAGACCAGGCTGGCCTCAAATTCACAGAGATCCACCCATCTCTGCCTCCTGTGTGCTAGAATTAAAGGCACGCACCACCACTACCCGGCTTGTTTTTATTGTTGAGACAGGGTCTCACTATATATAGCCCTAGGCTGGCTCCAGTGTCTTTTGCCTCCTGAGTGCTGGGATTAGAGAAGCACATCACCCATTCCTTCTCTCTCTCTCTCTCTCTCTCTCTCTCTCTCTCTCTCTCCTTCCTTCCTTCCTTCCTTCCTTCCTTTCTTTCTTTCTTTCTTTCTTTCTTTCTTTCTTTCTTTCTTTCTTTCTTTCTTTCTTTCTTTCTTTCTTTCTTCAGTACTAGGGATTAAAAGCTAGGTAAGCACTTTACTACTGAACTATATCCTCACTACCTTATTCCATTGCATTTAATCGTTGCTGATCATGGCAGCATGCCCAAGTATCCTGTTTATTCATCAAGTATTTGATCAGTTCTCATGTGCTCAGCACTTTTCAGAATGTTAGAAGCAAAGTTGTAGACAAGGCAGATAATATCCCTACCTTCATGGACTTTGACATTTTAGTTGGCAGGCAAAGAAAAGTGAAGAAAGTAATTTGCAATCTGATAAAGCCGTGGAAAACAAATAAGCAGAATACTGACAGAATATTGGTTGAGGGGAAGTGGGAAGGGCTAGCTCTGTGAAAATGCTCAGAAGGAAGTGGAGGTCGATCATTGTGGAACCAAGAAGAGTACAAAAGTGTTAGATGGTTAAAGGCCGGATTCGAGGACTTGAAAAACTAATGCATTTGGATTGTACCAATCAAAAAGCAAGGGCATAGCACCAGACAAATGGAAGGGCCTGCAGAAGCTAGATGAAGCAATCCCTCGTGAGTTGTATTACCAGCCTTGCATTTCTTTCTAAATACATACTATATGCAGAGGCATGGACATGATCAGATTCGTTTTTTAGAAGACATTGGATAGGATATAGAGGGTAAAACTGTTGGGAAAGCCCACTGAGAAACCATCACAGTGGCCCAGAAGAGATGAAAGTAGCCTGGATTAAGGCTTTCTCATGTTCTTTCCTTAAACTCAATTTCTTCCTTTGTAGAATGAGAATAGAAACTTAGGAAAAACAGATCAGCAAACAATTGTTCCTAGGCACTGAGATATAAGAAAGACTCCAGAGAGATGGCTGGAGAGATGGCTCAGAGGTTAAGAACACTAGCTGCTCTTCCAGAGGTCCTGAGTTCAATTCCCAGCAACCACATGGTGGCTCACAACCATCTATAATGAGATCTGGTGCCCTCTTCTGGTGTGCAGGCAGAATACTATATTCAAAATGAATAAATAAATAAATAAATAAATAAATAAATAAATAAATAAATAAATAAATAAATAAATAAATCTTTAAAAAAAAAAAGAAAGACTCCAATGTGCTGCAGTGTGTCAAGATTTGAAATATATTTAAGATTGATGTACTTTCTATCATTCTCTACCAATCAACCCACTTCCTCTTATTCAGGTTTCACTCCAGCAGGAACTAAGAACAGCTGTGGCCTTGTAACTCACTGAACCAATTAGTGGCTTTAAAGTTGCTTCACCATGCATAGTTTTTGTTGCTTAACTAGCTGTTTATCAACTGGGATAGGCCGTGATGCACGAACCAAGAATGACTGCAGAGTTGTGGTCGGGCTCAGTCTGGAAAGGTTAGCTCAGTTCAGGTGTTTGATTTTGCTTCTTGTCTTGCTTCCTGCAGGGCTTTTGGACCTGTACTGCCAACATTAAACTTCAGTGTAAAGGATCCTTGCTAGTCTTACATTTAATTCTTCTCTCCTAGTGCCTTTACATTTCTTCTTCTTCTTCTTTTTTGAGTTAGAGATTGATCTTTATTCAAAACTCTGATCTACCAAGTTAGCGTTTTCCACCAACTTGGGGAGCAGAGACCTTCACAGGCTTCACAATCTTTTGTTTAGGTGCTGCTTTGGTAGGGGTCTTGGCAGCAGCCATTGCTGTCTTCTTGGACGCCTGCTTAGCCTTTTTTGCTTCCTTGGCAGCCCTGATAGCCTGTTCTCGCTGAGCTTTCCTAACTTCTGGTTTCTGATTCCTCTTGGCCATTATATCAGCAAGAGATGCACCAGTGACAGCTCGCTGGAATTTGACTGCACGGAGGGTTCTTTGCTTTTGAATTTCTTCCGACTGTCCCCTTTTGTGTTTTCTTCTGCAGAGGACAGTCCAGTTTATCTGCCGAGGATTCCTTTTGGAAAGGAATGCGGACTCGCATTTTGCATAAAGAAACTGGAAAACCTTCCCGTTGGTCCTGGCATAGCGCCGCCCGCGTCCGGGGTAGATCTTGTATCCGCTGAAACTGCACAGCTCGATCTTCATGGTGAAAGCTGCCGGCAGGCCGGAGGAAAGATGGCGAAGAGAAAGGCCTTTACATTTCTTGATAACTGTATCATTGAGGAAATGCTGTTCATTCAAAACAATGGTATAATGGTATAATGAATGTAATAAATCAATAAAATTAATGTAATTAATGAATATCATAAATATAATTATTGAATGAATACTGCGAATGTAATCAGTGAATGCCACAAATGTAATTATTATCACGAGTGTAATTAATGAACATCATGAGTGTAATTAAAATATAAATTAAAAATTCCACTGATACTTTTTTTGTTGTTTGTGGTTTTTTTTTTTTTCCCGAGACAGGGTTTCTCTGTGTAGCTTTGGAGACTGTACCTAGAACTTCCTCTGTAGACCAGGCTGGCCTAGAACTCACAGGGATCCGCCTGCCTCTGCCTCCCGAGTGCTGGAATTAAAGGCATGTGCCACCACTGCCCCTGGCACCCGAGGCACTTAAAAGCCTCTTTAGTATCTGTACCACTGGTTTTGTATCAACTTGACACAAGCTACAGTCTTCAAGGAGTAAGGAGTCTCAGTTGAGGAAATGCCTCCTTGAGATCCATCCATTTGTGGGAGGGCCAAGCCCATGGTGGGTGGTGCTATCCCTTGGCTGGTGGTCTGGGTTCTATGAGAAAGCAGGCTGAGCAAGCCAAGGGAAGCAAGCCAGTAAGCAGCACCCCTCCATGGCCTCAGCATCAGCTCCTGCCTCCTGAATCCTGCCCTGTTAAGAGTGCCTGTCCTGATTTCCTTCAGTGGTGAATAGAATGGAAGTATAAGCCAAGTAAACCCTCTACTCCCTAACTTGCTCTTTGTTCATGGTGCTTTGTCACAGCAATAGAAACTCTAAGACAAGTTGGTACAAGCGTACTGAGGTATTATTGTGACAGACCTGACCATGTTTTGGGGAGGATTGTGCAAGGACTTTGGAACTTTGGGCTAGAAGAGCCATTGAGTGTTAAGGGCTCAGTGGGATGTTATTTAGGAGCTTGGAAGATAAGAATATTCAGAGCAGTGCAGAGAATGGAGGTTTGGCTTGTGAAGTTTCAGAGAGAAGTTTAAAGACTCTATCAGAGCCATTTGTTATTTTGAATTAAGATCCTGTAGTTCTGGTTAGCTGGGGCTGAAGAATCAGCTATGATTAACAAGATAACAGAACTACTAAAGCAAAACTGCTTCCCTGGAATACTTGATGCTAGTCAGCTGGAGCTAAGAAATTAGTGGTGATTAAGAAGAGACCAGGGCGGTGGTGGTGCACGCGTTTAATCCCAGCACACGGGAGGCAGAGCCAGGCGGATCTCTGTGATTTCAAGGCCAGCCTGGTCTACAGCATGAGATCCAGGATAGACACCAAAACTACACAGAAAAACCTTGTCTCGAAAAAAACAAAAACAAAAAAGAAGAGACCAGCACCACTCAGGTGAGATCTTCAGGGAAGTGTTTCCTGAGATCACAAAGAAGCTGTGTTCTAGAGGCAGCCAAGGCTGTACTGGACTTGGTAATTTGTAAGTAGGAGTTACTCTGGTGGTAATGGTTTTGAAGTCATGAAGGGGTCAGGGAGAGCAACTGAGGTTTGAAACTGTGAGAGGCCAGGAAAGCCCACTGGTGAAGGCGTAGCCTCAGTGGCAGTTGAAGGCCCAGGACTGGAGGGGCCGTGCAAAGAAGTTGAAGCTTGGCACCATTTAGAGAGCCTATGAGAGGCTATTGGTGAAAGTGCACCCAGTTGCAGCAGAAGACCCCAGCGTTTTACAGATGCCAATACCATGACCATCAAGAACAGCAGCAGCAGTGGAGTTGGAGCCAGCTGAAGCCTAGAAGACAACCTCTGAGTGATGCAGAGGGCAGAGCAAGACAAGTTCTGTGTGCTGCAAAGGGTGGAGCTGGAGAAGAGATCCAAGCCCGTTGAAGGGATACTGAGTGGATCCCAGCCATTGGACAGTTGAATTTGGTTTTGCTTTGATTTGTGACTGTGCCCTGATTTTTCCCTCTTGACGTAAGAAAGAAACCCTAAGACAATATGCAAAGACTGGTGGCAAACTATGAATAAAGTTCTATTTTTATGGTTCACTTTAAAAATGGCTATTTCATGTCAGTTCACACTTATAGACATCATGGCTCTGATGCCTTAAAAACAGAGCCTACTTAAGGTGTCAGCTGTTTTGCCAGGAAAAGGTCAGTTATGTTCACTGTTAAATAGTCAGATATCACTGTCTGGGGGACCAGCCCCCAGCAGCACAGGGCTCAAAGGGAAATACACAAAGTCGGCATGTACTAGACATTTTTATCTGAGGGGGTTAAGACACTCACACATCTCTTGATGGATTCCTTCTTTATTCTTCTGTATTCTTTATTCTGTGTTCTATTTTCTTATCTCTCTCCAGAAATGTCTCTTCTGTCTCTCTTGATGTTTTCCTTCTCCTTCTAACTCTCTCATTCTTGATGTTCTCCTTCTAACCCATTTAAACTCTATCTTTATTCTTTCCCTTACAGCTTATATACCCCACCAAAATCTTTCAGACAATATAAAAATTACAATGTGTTACATTCTGTTTTTCAAGTGAATGATTACAATGAACAAAAGTTTAAAAAAAAAGCATGTTTTCCATATCCCTTAGATGATTAAACATTCTACAGGTGAAAAACAAATTATCCCAAGAACCCATGAACATTCATACCCAAGCAACTTGTTATAGATTAACAGTGAGTAAGCAAGATAATCTTCTCAGTCATGTCTTTTACTGGCAGGCTATGTTTTGCAGTTAAAAAGAAAGGGCCAATTACTTTGTTACTTACCTTGAAAGGTAATCTTATAAGGAGTCTTAAAGGAATCACAAACCTAAATTTTTATTTTATTTTATTTTATTTTATTTTTCAGAGCTTTATTAGAAGGGGAAAGAGGAGAGCCAGGCCTGGAGAGAGAGAAAGATGGCGGGGGGGGGGGGGGGGGGAGCAGAGCAGAGCAGAAAGAGCAGAGAGAAGTCTTCTTTAAATCTTAAGTGCATATCCACTTGCTTTGGAACAATCCTTTTCTACACTATGAATATGTAGTACTCTCATTGGTTAATAAAAAGCTGACATGTTGGTATCCGGGCAGGACATTAGATGGGAAAGCCAAACTGAGAATGATGGGAAGAAGGAGGGCGGAGTCTAGAGAGAGGCCAGCCTGTTACTGAACAAGCAGGACATGTAAAAAATGATGTAATAAACCATGAGCCATGTGGCAAAGCATAAATAGAAATATGGGTTAATTTAAGTGTAATAGTTAGCTAGTAACAAACCTGAGCTATCGACCGAGCATTTATAATGCATTTTCTGCCTCTGAGTCAGTTATTTGGGACTAGGCAGTTGGGAGAGAAAAATTCCACCTCCGTTTATACCCACTCTTATATATCAGGATATTGAGGGCAGAAATAGGTATAAGGAATTAACCATCATCTTTGGTCATCAACCAATCTAGCAAGAAAGGCATATCAGCTAATGATAATTAGGCTGCTTTGTTCTTGTTCCCTGACCTTAAAGAGCTCCTCACTCAACCATGTGCCTTTCTAAACCTTTAGATTATCTTCTTGGGTTTTTTTTTTTTTTAATCTCAAAGCTATTTAATAAAAACACCTTAGTCTAAGTTATTTTCAAAGCTTTGTTTCAGTTATGATACACTCCAAACCCCATGAACACATCTCCCAACATTAAGGTTAAAAGAATTTAGGCTAGCTGGGCCACTAGAACTCAGCTGTTTTTCTTAATCATTAACCTAAGCCATAGTCTATATGGCTCCTCAATAGAAACTCATGTGTTCTAGTTGTGTAACATGTCCTTGATTTTTTATAATCAAAACTCTATTTAAACTAACATTATTATCAATGAGACAGTACAGTTTAGGAAGGAATCATTTTCATAATAATCCACAGGTTAAAATGCCCAGTACAATGGGCTGTTTCCATGAGATAAACATACTACATAACAGGCAGTGGGGATCTCCCCAAACCCATTCACACCATGCCAGATAGCAGAGAAAGATGGCAGGAGCAGACATGTAAAGGCACAGCAGAAGCAAAAGACATTCTGGGGTCTGTGGTCTCAGGGCCTTGCCTATCTGAGAGTTACCCGTCAGGAATTTTCCTCCTGGTGGGCTGACACCTTGAACTTCAATTACCATCCACTGCTTCTCTGACATGACCACAGACAGTCAGGTTTAGAATCTCTTCTTTTTTTTCAAGACAGAGTTTCTCTGTTTAACAGCCTTAGCTATCCTGGAACTTGCTCTGTAAACCAGGGTGGCCTCAAACTCAAAGAGATCTGTTTGCCTCTGCCTCCCAAGTGCTGGGATTAAAGGAGTGTGTATATGCCACTACCACTCAGCTAGAATCTCATAATTTTGCATTTCTTATAAAAATTGATTTGGCCTTGAACATATATATCAACTTAAGATTCTATGCGGCTTCATTTACTTAAAAATATTTTGAGTGTATGTGTGTGTGCATTCACCTTGTTTTATGAGAAAGGGTCTCTCACTGTCCTGGAGCTTATGAAGGATGCTAGATTTACCAAGCCTAGGGGTAGGATCCTTGGGTATCATCTCCTTAGTACTGGGATAACAAGTGTGTGTCACTGTGCCTCTTCACGTGGGTTCTAGGGATCAAGTACTTTACCAACTGAACTAGTTCCCCAGCCCTCCTGTTGTGTATAGTTTTAAATAGCTATCTTCTACCTTCCTAGAGAGGTCTGCTGTCTAATAACATACCTCCTTAAACCCTCTTTGTGGGGTGAAGAAATGTAAAAAAATAAAATAAAGGTCACAATTGTCACAGTTGCTGGACAGTTTCCTGTGCTTGTAATTCTAGCCCTTGGAAGGCTGAGGCTGTAAGACAGACAACTAGAGGCCAACTTGGGCTTTGTAGCATGATTCTGACTCAAAAAAATTCATAAAAGTACATATTCTTTAATCTGAATTATTATAACTATGAGGAAAGAAATTTTACCACTATTGAGTAGCTACTATCCAGCTATACTTGAGAATAAAGCTTGAGTGAAATATAAACATTTATCAGATCTATGGGCTTTGCAACTCACATGCAGGAAACACCAAGCAGCAATGGCCATAAGAAAATCATTTATTTAGGCCACAGCATCTTAAACTGTGGGTTGTGACTCCACGTGGGACAGCCTAACCAAATGTAGTTGTAGAAAATTTGGCAAAAGTAAAAAGTTCCTGAATGTAAAGTTATCAAAAATCAATTTAAAATTGCAGTATGATGAATGGAGGTGTTTCAGGCAGCGCTTGCCCATAGAATTATGCAGATTCAACGCAGCCTTGTTTTCTGTTTTTTTTTTTTTGTTGTTGTTGTTTTTTCGAGACAACGTTTCTCTGTGTAGCTCTGGCTGTCCTGGAACTCACTCTGTAGACCAGGCCGGCCTCAACTCACAGAGATCCACCTACATGCTGGGATTAAAGCGTGCAGCACTATGCCCAGCCAGCCTTGTTTTTGAAGACACAGCATGTTCATTCTTCCTGGTACATGCCAAATGGGCACTGCCCCAAACGCCTTGGCTCAGACTGAGGACCACTGTATGTTACAAATTGCAGTGTCCTAACTGTGCACACAAAGTTATATGCTGTTGTAGAAATCATGGTTTAATTGGGGAAAACAGACTCAATATTTTTTTTTTAACCATGACTCTGTAGATGTAACGGTTTTATTAAATAAGAAACACAGAGCCAAATGCAGAGTTAAAAGCCCAAGAGGTCAGAGCAGTAGCTAAGAGCTGAGACTTAAAACCACCTTCTTACCCTTCGCTGCTGCTGCCGTCCTTCCCCTGAGAAAGAGGCCTACTTCCTGTGTGTCTGTCGTTTTATTGACTTTCTGTTCTGCCTTCTTATTGGTTGTAAACTCAACCACATGACCTCCTCGTCACTGCCTGTCTATACAGACCTCTAGGCCTCTATGGTTGGTATTGAGATTAAAGGTATGTGTCTCCATGCTGGCTGTATCCTTGAACACACAGATATCTGCTTGTCATGTGATCGGGATTAAAGGTGTGCGCCACCACCGTCCGGCTTCTGCTATGGCTTGCTATTAACTCTGACCCCCAGGTAACTTTATTAACATACAAATAAAATCACATTTCAGCACAAATAAAATATCACCATACCACTCACTAAGTATCAAATTAGTGTGTCTTTGGATTGTATTGTTAAAATGTTTGATTTTAAAACTTGGGGACTTGCTGGGTGGTGGTGGAGCACACCTTTAATCCCAGCACTAGGGAGGCAGAGCTAGGCAGATCTCTATGAGTTCGAGGCCAGCCTGGGCTAGAGTGAATTTCAGGACAGGGGCAAAACTACACAGAGAAACCCTGTCTCAAAAAACAAAAACAAAACAAAACAAAACAAACAAACAAACAAAAAAAAAACCCAAAAACTTGGTGACTGAGTTGCAGATTTGAATTTCACACCAAAACACTGAGTCACAGATATACATCTACCATTTAGAATTACATATTTATGGAAGGCAATGCTTTCAGCAATGTTGATTATAAAATCAAAAATATCAAATCAACTCTGAAAAACGTTGAAGATGATCTACATACTGTAATATCAATATCCAGCACAGTTGAAGAAAAATGGACTTGGGAGGAAGAAAGTTGTGAGCACCACGATTCTTTGCTCAAGGCTTAAACCTTTTCATACACTGATCAGTTATCATTTTTGTACCTGATTAGTTAGTTATACCTCTCTGTAGGTAAAGGTCTGCTTCCAAACTGAATCTGGCTTTCCAGTTTACTTATGCTAAACTTTTCACATTAGAGGTGATCTGCATGCACCATGTGAGACCAGCACCATCACATATATCCTCCACTCCCAGAAACTGCAGGATGTAGACTGGGATCCCACCATTATCCAAGCTGTATCATTCCTCAGGTTTGAATGTGACATATTGTTTGGGGTTACCATTGACTCATTTGCAACAAGCAACACAAAACAAGTCCTGAAGACATTTAAGATATTTTTGACTGTCAATAGGTGGGGAAAGATGAGAGGAGGGGACTCCATCTACACAGATAAGATGTGGGGGTTTGTGGGCTTCATGAGTGCTGTGTGTAGACTTTCCAGTGTCTCCCAAACCCCTCACCCACTAAGCCTAATAAACCCAATGACTCACCAGAGCAATGGTGGAATTATACTTTGGTTTGTCCTTAGGCCTGCAGGAATGGGTAGGTGTTTACAGCTCCTCATGGGAAGGAATTTTAGCAATCCTCAGTACATTTTTGAAGGCTTTCCTTTGTATTTTGAAATTCTCCTGTGATGACTGCACGCTCTACCTCATAGCATGGAGGAGGAGGCCTGGTTGCTCAGAAGTTTTATAAGGCATATCTATCTGTCTGTCTTCAAGGGCAAAGGACAACTGTATTAAAGTGTTGTAGACTCACGGTATTTAGATAAAGGGAATGGTCAAGGGTTTGTTAAATACAGTCCTGAGTGTGCTTCTCAGACTTTTGTCTTTCCAAAGACTTTAAGGAAGCAGCTCTTGATTCCCCTTTCCGTTTGTACTTGTTACTACTGTAAGCACGTGTGTATGTAAGTGTGTATGACCCTGCACGTGTGGGTATGAGTGGAGGCCAGGGAACAACTAGGAGCTCTTTCCTTCCACCTTGGTGGGTTCTGGGAGGCAAGTCAGATTGTTATGCTTGTGCAGCAAGCACTTTTACCCAAGCTCACAGCTTCTATTCTTTTAGATCCTTCTACATCCTAATTAAAATTGTAACTTACTGCTTAGGCAGGGAACGTAAAAAAAAATTATTTTTTTTGTGGTGCTAAGCATGAAATGGGCATTCCAACCAACCAGGCCAGTGACTTGTGCATGCTAGGTAACTGCTCTGCTGAGCTACATTCCTCCCTTTTTTTTCAGGGTTGTTGACACCCCCCCCCCCCCCCCAGTATGCCTCTCCAACCTAAAACCTTTTCCATTGTGGTCACTGCTTTTCCAAGCTGTTTGTTTAGATTAACCTATATCCTCCCAAATTATACATAGTTCGGGCTCATGATTTTAATAAAGGAACTTTAGTTGGGAGTCCCAGAAAGTAAAATCCCGGACTTCTTGAATTGGAAAGAGCTTTTGTAAAATAATTACCTCTTTTCAAATAAAACGTTTAAAAAAGTATCTGCTCAAGGCCGTTAAATCGATTCAATCCTCTTAACTGTACATTCCAATATGATTCTTAGCATAGTTCTGATTCTAACCCAGCCAACAGATGAGACCACTTAACTGACCCAACTTATTAAAATGTAGGGTAAGGGAAAGACGATAAAAGTTGGCTGAGAATAAGTATGGTGAGTTTGAAGGCAGTGGAGTTAAAGATCCAAAGCAAATATCGCTTTGATGGTACTGGGGATTGCTGGAAGGTCTACTCCTGACATCTCTGCCTGTCAAAAAACAAAAAACCATAATTAAAAATTTAACAAAGTTTAACAAAGAACCGGATCTACAACCAGGTAGCTTCCCAAAGATGGTTTAGAACACCCCACCTCTAGTGAGGTGAACTGTCCTTAGAGGTAGAAACACAGTAAACATACAAAATGACCTCAATAGTGCAATTCGGCATTTGCCTTTTATGGGCACACTTTGGCAGCCTTCAGCCTGGGACTGGCTGAGCCCAGTTGCTTAGTTACCAGGGTATATATACTTTATAACCGGCTTTGCATCTCAAGCTAGAATGCAGGCCATTATATTGGAAGGCCACTCTGGACCAAATTTTACCTAAAGTATGGGTACCAGTTTAGAACACATTTGTTCGAACAGAACCATACAAGTTTAAAACAGGGTATTCAAGAATTCTAAGCTCTTCCCAGCCCCGCGGGCAGAAGCAGGAGCCAAGCTGCAGAGACAACGAGGCTGCCGACCTTCCAAGAGGGTGTTCTCACGACTTGGCCCCTCAACACATCATCCGGTGCACACCCCACTCAAAGTCCCAAGGGCGGAGTTCGGGCTCCCGAGCGTGAGGACTAGCGAGCTCCAGCTCACGCCACACCGCGGGAGTCAGGCACGTGGTAGCCCAGCCGCAGTTTCCGCCCTGTTCCTTCTATTCAACTACAAGGCCGGGCCTCGCGTGTCGCCGCCCAAACCACTGTGCCACAAGACGGGTGGAAAAACCGGAAGCCAAGATGGCAGCTTCCCGCCCTTCTCTCGCGAGAGCAGCGAAGAGAGGGGGAGGGGAGGTGGGACTAGCAGGAAATGCACCAATGAGAGGACAGGCTGTGCTTGACTGACGGCTCCGGCGGCCTCTCGCACGCCCCGCCCCGGCTGCGGAGCTCGCTCTCCGCTCCTCGCGCTCTCCCCGCCTCCCCTCCCTCCCCGCCCGGCTCTTCTCTTCCCGTTGAGGTGGCGGCCGGCCTCGCCTCCTACTCAGCTCCGCTTTCCCTGTCTTCGGCTATTCCCTTTTCCCCGGGGCCCAGAGCGGCCAGACTTCTCGCTTCTTTCTCTACGGTGGCCCCAGAGCCCCTGCGTGCGCTCCTTCCCCCGCCATGAATGAGGAATACGATGTGATCGTGCTGGGCACCGGCCTGACGGTGAGCTGCGGTGGACGGCGGGGAGACGTGTCGGTCCGGCCTCTACGGGGCCCGGGGGAGAGGGCGGGTCCCTTCGGTACACACTGAGCTGGCCCCGCCCGCGCCCGAACAGCCCGTGCCTGCACACCTTTGGGGACCGTCCCCCCTCATCCGTGTTGGGTCTGGGGAGGGAGATCATGGCTTGTGGGGATGCACTGATTTGAAGGCGCCCGAGTGTTAGGAAAAACCAGGATGTGGAATTTGGGACGGGTGTCTGGGAAGCTAGCCCATTGGGAAGTTGAGGTCAGAATCTCCGAACATCTGGAGAGAAACAGCTTCGTCCTTCTGCAGGAAGGAAGAGGAAAGGGAAAACAGCTTGTGCTCTTCCACTTCCCTTTTGGGTGGATGACCTCTCCCGATTGGAAGCAGGCAAGCCCTGAACAGAGCGGGAGGGAGTCGCTGCTGGCTCTTGCATTTTCTATGTGGCAAGCAGCAGCGGCTGCTTAGCTAGTCAATTGGCTGGGAAAGCTAGGCAGAAGGATAATCGCTGATCGGTAATTGTCATAGAGTTTGGCCAACTGAAGTTTCTAGAGAAAATAATGAAACGAGTTTCTTAAAAAAAAAAAAACCTCTTCACTTTTCTAATAAGCCTTATGCATTCCTTTACCGTTCTCTCATCCTCTCACGTAGAATGGGAAATGAATTGTCTATTAAATACACTCACCTCTGGCCCTTACCATGTGTCCTTTTGTTGGTTTATTGCGTGCCACCACTGTTTCTTAGTGTTTTCCCTTAACAAATGGTTTGAGGAGGGGAGGCTAGTTTCTTCACGTAGGTTAGAAAATAATGTGCAGCGTGAATATACTGGTAATATATAAATGTAATATTATATATAAACGTAATATATATAGCATATTTATTTTCGTGGGTATCTATCTGCTTAGAGATGTTTAGATGATCTGCAAAAAATGTAGACAAGTCTATACCTTTCTTTTTCCTTCTTGGCTTGTTTAAGAAAAGAGCTGAGCATTTGCCAAAAGAAATTGGAGAGAGAACCAGTCATTTTGACTATCAATTTGGGTGTGTTTGTGAAATTATGACTGGGTTATTTCATTGGGACCACTGATATATGTATGCCATACAGTAGTATCATTTCAACTGCCATGGCTTTCGAATTTGTTGAAATGCATTGAAATATCTTTTGATCAAATTAATATTTTTTAGATAAAATAGTCTGAAATAACTTTTGGAGAAATCCTTCAATATTTTTATACCACTTTTTTTTTTTTAACTTTTTGGAAAAGCTTATTTTTCTCTTTACAGTGATTAGTGATGATTGCTAAAGAGGATAATTTTATTTTGACAAGATCTCACTGTGTAGCCTTGCTTGACTGGAACTCAGAGCTCTACCCATCCCTGTCTCCTGGGTGTTGGTATTAAAGGCAAGGCCAAGATGTCCTGCTCAAGGCTAATCGACATGTGACTGCCCAGAGAGTAGACTGTTAAATGGGCTCCATTGCTTATCTAGAAAGCCATTTGCTTATTTTGAATGGTCTGATGGAATTTCTCTCCTCCCTCCCTTCCTCCCTTCCTTCTTTTTTTGAGGCAAGGTATTTCTGTGTAGACTTAGCTATCCTGGAACTCCCTATGTAGATCAGGCTGGCCCTAATCAAAGAGCTCTTTCTGCCTCTGTCTTCCCAGTGCTGGGATTAAAAGATATGTACCACCACACCCAGTGATTGAATTTTTGGTTGTGAGTTGGGAAGACTTGGGTGCCAAAATGAATCATTCTACCCAGGGTAGCCTGCAGGTTCTGATTTTAAGTGCCTAATTGGGGTTCCAAGTAGTTTGTGGTGGATTTTGCTCTCTCAGTGGGTCCTGTGGCTGCCAGCATATTGTGAGAGCCAGTTACTTCCATTTTGTGTTGTCATTGCTAATACCTCATATTTGCCCATTAATCAGGTCATTTGAGTATAGATAAGTGAGTGCAGAGCTGTCCTGCAAGTTTCCACATGCCTAGTTCAGAAGTATCACTTTCTCCAAAGATAGCACAATTTATTTCACAAAATAACACCCTTTATTTAAATTTTCACTTTCTTCCTTGGTGGGCCTTAAAGATGTATTCTGGGATATGTTCTTTTAGAATTGTATCAGTGCAGGGTTGTGTGTGATGTGTGACTTAGGACCATTATTGATAGAAGCAATAGTAGCAGGATAATGTTGATAATAAGAAATGAAATTAGTAGGACTTAAGGTGAAATCTTGAATTAAGGTTAAATCTTTTTGTTTTTTTCAGACAGGGTTTTTCTGTGTAACAGTCCTGGCTGCCCAGGAACTAACTTTGTAGACCAGGCTAGCCTTGAACTCACTGCCTCTGCCTGCTGGGATTAAAGGCTTGTGCCACCACTGTCTGGCGAATTAGGTTAAATCTTGAAGAGACCTGTAGTCAGAGTTAAAAAAAACTCAAATTAGAAGAAACTTTGAATATCCAGTGGACATACCATTTGATGTCCCTAATCTTTGGTTTATAGATATTTAGTGCTGAAGATTTAATAACCTAATAAAAAGGTGGGTACCAAATGCTGTATAATATTGGTGTGTCAAGGACTTTGAGTGCAGGGAACTTGTTACTTTTTAAACAGTGTTGAGTTTTCTGTGTACCTTGTTATTGGCATTGTTTTCTGTCAGTTAAATTCATATTAACCCACAAGTATTAAAAATAACTTTGGGGCTGGAGAGATGGCTCAGAGGTTAAGAGCACTGACTTGCTCTTCCAGAGGTCCTGAGTTCAATTCCCAGCAACCACATGGTGGCTCACAATCATCTATAATGGGATCTGGTGCCCTCTTTTGACCTGCAGACATCCATGCAGGCAGAACACTGTATACATAATAAATAAATCTTTAAAAAAAAATAACTTTAGTAAAGACCTTTACTTCTCTGTGAGAAATGGCATGGCAGATTCTGTGTAATTCTCTAACACTAGAGTTGTCATTTTACAGAACTGTAGTTTGGTTTCCCTGTGGTGGTGGTGGTAGTGCATGCTTTCAGTCCCAGCATGGTGTATGTGTGTGTGTAGTTCCAGCATGGTGTGTGTGTGTGTGTGTGTGTGTGTGTGTGTGTGTGTGTGTGTAGGCCATCTCTGAGTTTGAGGTCAGCCTGGTCTGCAGAATTCCAGGACAGCCAGGGCTGCACAGAAAATCCTTGTTTCTAGGGAAAAACAAAACAAACCACCAAACCTATAGTTCATAGAAAAGCCTCATGATGACAAAGTAAGAAAAATAAGTTTTTTGATAACTAGTATTTTAAAAGGACTAATTTTTGTGCTGGAGCATAATGAAGGCATTAAGATCTAGTAAGCTTTATAGGGACTTCAACCCCCTTTAACTAGTCTCAAGCTGTTTTGCCTTTTAAATTATTCCATCTCATTTTTGCCTCCCACATCTTCTTTGTTGGTTGACTGGCAACTTCTGCATTTCTATGCTTTGAGCATGTGTAAGCAGACTTTTATCACATAATTGACACACAACTCATATGGGCTTGGTAATAAATCAATGAGTTGTGCTAGAATTAGTTTATTTGAAAAGAGGAGCCAACTCCACGGCCATTTGTGCTTCCCAAAGGCTTTTTTGTTTGCTACACAGTAAACCTAGAAATTATGAATAGAAACATGTAATTTGATATTTAAACAACTCATTCTCAGCATTGTATGTTTAAAAATTATTTTATATCCCAGAGCACTCCCCCTACTATATCTCCTTATTAAAACATTATAATTAAATCTGAGGTTTTGTACTTGATTTGAAAATCCTAAACTGTAATTTAAATTTGCTCAGACTTGATCTTGAAACCTCTGCCATAGTTGTGAGAGTTGTGTGGACAAAGGACTTTGTATTCTCTCAGGAGTGGTCATAGGACCAGTGTTTTCAAATGCCTTTTTTTTTTTAAACTCAAATATTCCTAGCCTAAAAATGTTTAATTTAGCTGGGCTGTGGTGGCGTACACCTTTAATTCCAGGACTTGGGAGGCAGAGGCAGGTGGATCTCTGTGAGTTCAAGGCCAGCCTGGTCTACATAGTGAGTTCCAGGATAGCCAGGGCTACATAGAAAGACCCTGTCTCAAAACAAACTAATAAAAAAGTGTTGGTAAGCTTTGAGTAGCAGGAGGAATGCTTTTCTAGGTGAAGAGAGCAGTGCAAATTGGACTTTATAAAAGGATGTGGGGCTAGTGGGATAGATGGCTTAGTGGGTACAGGTGCTTGCTGACAAGCCCCAAGACCTGACTGCAATCGCTGGGATCCACAAGGTATGGGAGTCAGTTCTCTGCTTTCACATTTTCCTCAGACTTCCACATTTGCCCCCCCAGTGTATATATGTACACATACATAAATGTCAAGAGTAAAAATGTGTGCGGGGCTAGGGAAATACTGTCAGTATATTGCTTGTGTAAAAATGAGGACCCGGATTCCATCTCCAGAACCTACATTTAAAAAAAAAAAAAAAAAAAAAAGACAAGAAACAACAAAACAAAACACCAAGGTTTAGAGGTATTTGTTCCAAATGATACCCTGAAGGCAGTTACACATTTTGCTGTTTGACACATTTTTCAACTATAGGCCCTTTATTTTGGTTCTCAGCCTTCATGCTTTAGGGCCATGGTCCAATGGGTCATGCTTATATGTAGGATTGTGACAAGTTA